GTCCCGCTGTTTATAATCTTTTCGAAACCGGTTGCTAAACGTTTACAAAAAGCCTGGACACCGCATAGATGTGAAGACCAGACTTCTTCAGTGCTTTCGATCAACACCCGTTTAGTTCGTCAGCTGGTTGAGCGTTTTCTCGCATTCTCTCCCACTCATCCATACATATAACTCTTTGCGTACTGTGTGACCATACATTGCATGTATCACGCTATGAAGAACCCAGCACTTCTTGCACTTTTTCACGTTCATCGCATCTACCGTTCACGAAGGCTTTCGAACTTTTTTGCATTTGCGCACGACTGCTCTTTGAAAAGTTTTTCGCCTTTGTCACCGAAATGGAGTTTTTGTCGCTGAATGCTGCCCGAGTACACTCTCTTTGGGATGCTGAGAAAGCCATGCTGCGGCCGTCCTAAGCCGTACTGGGGCTTCTCTACATGGATTAGAAGATGAGGGAATAAGACTCAGAGAAGCCTAGTTCCAATTTCTCAATACCAGCGGGATGACAGACATGGTGACCCTGAGGCGGCGTAGAGCAGGCGATGGAGAGATCCGACCAGTTCCCTAACGAGCGAGATCACTGCCACAAAAAATTTTCCTTACAGTTAAAACCACCTTATTCAGTGCACTATTCACTCGTCCAGATGTTGTTACCTTTTCAATATTCGTTTGCACTAAAAACGAGAAGGAACCATTTTGGACCTACAGCAGTGATTGTCACAAGTTGTACGAAGTTACCCAACTGTTTCTTTCCAATTCATTCGTGAAGGTTGTCAAAATTATCTAAAATAATGACTGTGCGTTAATAATCAGAAGAAGGACTACAAATAGCAATCCATACGCTTTCATCATTCCACAACTTCTACTCCGTGAATTTCGAATTGATGTGTTTAAGACAGTTAAAAATTATCTCTCACGACTTATTACTAATCAAAGTCGCCTTTAGTGGTGAAAAAAGGAAGGAAGTATTGGCTTACGAAAAACAATTGGTTTGAAAAAAGAGATATTCTTCCGAATTCTCTATTCACATGTACATCATGGTGATCTTATACCAAATAGGTTTCAATATGAAGTGTACGACTCTCGCGAACATCGTCGGTATGACAGTGTCGTCGCTGTCAATTCTTCCTTTCTGTGAGTTATAACCTGTTGCCAATGCCTGTTGTGACTGCGCCAGTCGACTTCATCCGTAGCCAGTCGCTATTTTATTCCTAGCATGCTGATATGAAATGTGACTAGGATTCATTAAAATGAACAGTTGCTTTAAATCACATACACCATCTCAGTGGAAATTTAAGCGAGTTGTCCTTTTTTCAACATCGCTTATGAATCGTTCTTATCATAGCAGCTCTGATCTACTAATTAATCTAATTAATTATTTTCTTTTCCTCATTGAACGACTTGAACTTGTCGTCGACTTCTGTACGCTCCATTTTCGTTTATTCAATTTCCCAGTCACTTTAAATCTTGCCAGAAATCACCATTCCAACTCACGCGAAAGTATCAGTAACCCACAATGTGAGATTTTGATGACGATCTTCTGATTGTTCCATTCCTTTCAAGTTTTTTACTCTTTATCGCACGATACTTATATTTGGTAAAACAAAGCTACTGAAAAAAGTGTGATGTCGTCAATGGAGCATCTAATTTTGCTGGACGAGTCGATGACGTTGGCTGTGAACATCAAATAGAAATGAGAATTAAGAGGCAGCCACATTACCACCATCTCCTTCTCTAGAATGTTTTTTAGACAGCAGGACCCCAACGACGGAATTGACACAAAATTTCGTATGTTTTCGGACGGCGCTCTCAACACTCTTAATCACTATTGCGATAGAAGATTTAGCTCTAACCTTACAGCAGCACAAAAATGTGCCATGTAAAAAATTAGAGAGTTAATAAACTCGAAGACAGTAAGATTGTCAGCTGGTGATAAGGGGCGAAAATTTCTAGTAATATATCGCCAATTAGATGTTGAGATGACAGAGAAGCACCTTAGCGATGGCACCCTTTATCACCCATACTCTGAAAATGAATACAAAAGTCAATACGGAGAGCTAACCAATCAGTGGGTCAATGTGGCAAGGACTGCAGACATAAAATCATCGCTTATTTTGCATTTTAAAATCAAGAGACCAACATGTTTCGTCTTGTACTTATCAAAACACATAAGTTGGGTTCAACTGATGATTTTGCATCAACTGCATCATCATTCAAGGATAGACACATCATCAGCAGTATAGAAGAACCAACGGATAAAATAACTTGGTTTCTAAGCCTATATTTAACCAGGTGCTCAAACATATTCCAATTCACCTCGCGAACATCCAAATGTTCCTAAGCGTCTACGTAACGCGCCTCCTAGCAATGCGTGATGGAGTCGTTCGATGTTACTATGCTTTTCACCAACGTGTCGAATGACTCCGCAATGTAAGCTAGCTTCGAACTTCATGTTGAACACGAAGAAAGAATAAATACTCATGGCCTGTCTATCAAGTAGATCATGGCTCTCTTAAAGGAATGCCTAAATTGCTCGATTTTCAAATGGTTTGAGAAATACTACGCGGAAATAAGGAGGCTGCCAGTGGGATAACGACTGGCACCAAGCCTTGCCATTGCGTTTAAGTCCAAATTAGAAGTCCTCGTTCTCGGTCTCCGACCACTGTTCTACTGCAGATATGTAGATGATTGTTTTGTCATCTTCTCAATGCAGGAAGAGATGGATAAACGCTGTGAATTGTTGAACAAGCGGTTTGAGTACACTAAATTTACCCGGAAGAAACCGAAATAAAACTGGTTTACATTTCTTAAAGTTCAAATCAGCTTATCAAGTGGCGGTTACATGACAAAGTGGTGCTGAAAAGGAAGTAGTAAAAACCTGGTCCTGGTTCATTTTTTTTCTTCACGCCTTTCACACAAGAGATAGCGCTTGTGAGAAACATGTTTCGAACGGCGAATTCGAAGGGATTTGCCACTTCTTTGTGCACAAGTACAGAACTAAAAAAAGAATCACGCGACTTGGCTTGGCAAATAGCCATCTCCAATAGCTACGAAATAGTAACTCCACGAGATAAGTTTAGAAGGAGCCCCAAAATGAAGGGTTTGGCCGAAACAAAATCCCGTCTATCTTGCTCTTCATTAGCGATGAAATAAGTATAGCGATAAAGCGATGCTTACGAAGGGCAGATCTAGAGCAATCGGTAGCAATAATTCAAATACCACCGAATAATCTTCGTCGTCAATTAATTCATAGCCGCCTTTATGATTGCATATGTGAAACACAGAGTTACGTATTTTACCCTAATGGCAGAGGCAGTGACTGCACGATTTCAGGTGCGATATACCTGACCTGTTGTAGTATTTGCCGAGATGTATAAAACATGCAGACCATTTACGTATCCGTAGTGAAGAGCGCCTAGATGGTAAACAAAAATAAAATACAAAAGCTCAGCGGAGACGATTTTGATATAAAATCGCTGTCTTCGCACAGGATTCCAAAACACCAACACGCAAACCACTCGGCGCTTTTTGGATATGTCAAGAATCTGAGAATGAATAGCGCGGAAGGTTGTCCTGAGGCAACACGTGATCTAGTCCCGTATCTCAGAAATGGTTTTTGATGCTTTGCAGTCGTCAACCATATGCGCTCTAAGCGGCTGTTATTCCTCGGTGAGAGGCAGGTAAAAAAAAGGAGAGTTTTTCGAGAGGCTACTTATAGTGTAATTATCGTTCAGATTTTTATCTTTTTTGTTTGTGCAATCTAAGCGTTTGACCTGGTAAATTTCCTATCAGTTTGCCTTCCCAACTCTAAAGAAGTACCCCCGAAACGTCAACGACCGCTGTGTTGTGTATGTTCTGTGTGCACGGAAGTAAATGTGCGCTGAATAAAAACCACGAGATTGCTGAGAAAAAAACGAGATACTTAAAATCCCGAGGTTGAGGTTAATAAAAAATCGATCTTCGGAACTGGCATTGACTTCGCCGAAATTTTTTAAGGATTATTTAACTTCGATTCTCACGAAGTACATCTTACTAATTTACTGAGTCAGGTTGTTGCACAAAAGACTGATGGGTTGAACAGTTTACGATCATCTCCAAGTATCGTCTACTCTTTGGAGAAGAAAGGGAATACAGAGCATCCTATTCCACAGTCTGGCAAATCACCATCTCGTCGAAAACGCTAGAAATAAAGAACGTCTTATGAGGAGTGGTACTTTGGTTATTGAGTAGTCTGTTGTGCTTAATTCATATCTCTATTCTTGTTCTACCACTCAAAATTCGTTATGGAACCATACTGCCCCGTCTATCCGCTTTCTAATCGACTTTATTACTGATCGTTGAAGCGGTAAAATGTTGATCATGTCATAGAGAGGAGCTTACCAGATCTCAGTTACCGACTGCATTTATTGACTTCTCCTTAAAGAGGTGGTTTTAGCACCCGCCATTCTCAAAGCAAAGGATCCGAGTGCAACAACATTAGGAATGTGGTCTTCTATATGTACCAGCGATAGTTTTATTTCATAACAACGGGTTTATATCGTAATTTCTAGAAGAGAAATCTGATTCTGCTAGCGCAATACATCTTCTTCAAAATCAATGAAAAGATTCGTCGTTTTTTGTACCCGACTATATAAATTCTCTGCTTACCTGATAGACGAATTTATTCTATGCTGTAACAAGTATTGAATCTAGTGCACTGTCTAGTCGATTTCGAAAACCATGGAGAAGTTTTTAATCTAAAGATCCTATTCCAATTTTATGAAATGTGAAGGCTTTGTCAAATTTCGAAAGAGATGAAGCCTACGAGATGGTCCATTACAATTCAAACTCATTCCACTACGCCACTACACGCATTCGTCTCCTCGTTTGTTAAACTAAATTTTCACTATTCCTGCGATCATTAATATCTCGATTCGGCTTCGATGTTTTTCCGACTGATATTGAAGCAACCATAGATACTTCTCACTCTTCAGTGCACAGATGCAAAAATTGTTGGTACGATGACAAGCAGACGATTGACAGCGCAGTCAAGCCGTGCAGGACTTCGCTGTTTGCTTGCTGGTGTGCTACTATGCGATGTGGTGGCAGGCAACGAGAAGTACCTTCTCTATCATGCACAGCCGAACGATGCACGAGGAATGCACGAACTGCGGAAATTGCAGATGCTAGACCACAAATATCAGGTGACACCACTCCACGTTTGAGGGCGCTTAAATTTTTTAAAACATAAGAAAAAAAGCAGAGATAGTAAATGACAAAAGAGAGGGGCAAGACATTTCAAATACAGCATGAATTTTATATACGCATTGCGTCATCATCTACATCATTAAAGTTATCCCATTAATAATGACCTCTGCTCTTAAGAAACACGAAAAAATCATATTTGCACCAGAGCCACCATTTCTTATTATTTATGACGGGAGCATTACCACGAATGGCTCACCGGGTTCTCCCCGTTTAGCGACTAAGTAATTCTTTGTATTTTTGCTGAGCAAACGCGAGGTGTTATTGTTCTTTATTCACGAATAAGCTGACGTTTCGGCGGATTTCGCCTTCCTCAGAGCCTGGAAAGGTTAAGTTGACAGCAATCTAATCGGCCAGACGCCTCCATAACCAAACAAAGAAACTCCAAACCAAGATTTCAATCACTTTGAACACAGCTTTGCGCACTCACCGCTTTCTATGAGGTTTCCACTAAGTATGTCACGTTGAGACCAACCGCACAGAAATCACATGGAAGTATAATGTGCCCCTCCCATCAGAATAGCAGTCTTATATACTGCTCTATATCACGCGTGATAATGAGGCATTCTTCCCTGCGGTTCATTTTCGGTTTTTTTTTTTTAATCCAGAATGCCTCGAGAGTTTTTCGCGCCTGTGTTCTTGATTCGCGTGCGAGGATGGTGACACATAC